GTTGGAACAAGCACTTCTTGTTCAGAAGATATCGCTGTTGTTCTTATTCAGAGGTATTTATGAGCTGATCACATCTTCTTTACACGAACATGAACCAGTTATATTGCTGAGTTGTTGAATATTAAATACACTTTATTATTCCCAGTAAACAATATTGACCAATCTTCAGTTTACCATTTTATAGCTACATTTGTATATTTTCAGAGAAAATATACAAATTATTGATTTCCTGATTCAACCTACTTTGCTATTTTTTAGCTAAATTGCTGTGGATCCACAAGTGTAACATATATCACCACATCGAGTAAATTTTCAACATCTGATACATACGCATCAACTGCGTACTCATGTAAGAAAGTTTTTATTCTCACTATCGATAATCAGAAATCAGCAATAGACTAAAGCGACCTTGAGAAGTGAACTCAAGGTCATGCATGAGTGATTTAAATTTGTTAGGTGTGTATGTATGCTTTAACACTGAGTTGGATAGACCTCCAAAAACTGAAGTCAAAATATAAAGTGAAATTTAAAAATAAATGAATGTTTCGTCGTAGCACGAAATTTCACAATAATTCAAAGTTTGATAAGCAGATTTGATGAAAACCCTGCCAGTGAAAGACTCAGTAAACATATCCATCATTACTATATATAGTTAAGAACATAGGTAATATCGAGTCATTCGCACAGCAGCCCATATGTCAACAGAGACTGATCAATTCGGTTGAATCAACGACGGTGTAATACAGTGTAATAACACTAAAATATAATCAAAGAGTTTGAAAATATTAGCTATAGACAGAATCATTGTTGGTCTAACATAATGGTTAGGTGTAAGTTGATTCGAAACAGCTCTCAGTTTAATTCAAGAGATGTATTTCGTCTTATTTGTGACTTGTCAGCTGGATATATCTGTATCCTAGTAAGTAATATTATTTCCACTAGAAATCTAACTCAAAAGTCATTCGTCTAAACATCAAATGGTCAAATGGTCACATCAATCAAATGAATTTTGAGAGATTGAAAAATAGATAGGTGGATAGTAAGTTTTCATAAGGTTATTAAGAAGACGAAGATTATCTGAACAGTGTCTGTGTGTGTGATGTGCTTGAGCAATACATTTTGAAAAATCTGATCCCCCATACATATTTACTTGTCTCAAGTCAATTTATATATGAAAATTAAAAGAAAGCCTAAAGGTTTAAGAAAATGAATTTGAAATGGTTATGACACTAGTCTTTGTAATATAATCCAATTACCAAGGATTACCAAAGTAAGTTAAGCGAAAAAACAGATTGTTTTTGTACAAACAACAGAGACTTAGGTTTACGAATAGCTAACGCTTCGACAAATTTCAGTATGCGCCTCTAACTGTTTGTATATAATATCTTGAATCATGTTTTCTTATCGACCTTATCATTCATTTCGATGGTTATGTTTTGTGATGGCTAAAGATGGACGGCTGTCACTGCACTTATCAAATTTTCTGTGTTAACTTATGTTTCAAGCTGTTTAGGCATATTCATTAGAAATGTACTTTTAATCAGTGTTTACACACAATGGATATAATTAATACCACTTACGTATATGTTCACTCACCCTAGTCTACACAGCTCAATTACTTCTCTCTATGTACATGTACCTACAGAGAGATGTGATACAATCATTTATGCAAGATTGAGGTTTATGGCGAAGTAGGTATTTTTTTGTCTCAATAATGATAAGCTGAGCTGCACAGTATGTTTTACTGAGAAATGATATTATTCTATGTTTCAACATAATACTCAAAAGGCTACGTGTGACAGGCCTCAAACAGATGTCCGATGGGCTCTGCGGTCACACAAATCTCTTTCAGGTAACTTTAAGAAGAAATAACCTTCCACGGTGTGGGCAGTCGGGAAGTGTCAACCACCCTCACAACTCCATCAGTACTCAAGTTTCCTCAGACTGCTATCCATCTCCCCATCATTAACTTCTAATCTTCCTTCATGTCTCTCAACTAACGATACTACATCATCTTCAATTTCTCCTACCTCTGCAGCCTTCGACAACGATCTCAGTTCACAAAACAGCATCCTTGGTCTCCTTAAACCACGCTCCAAATTACATACTGGAGCCTTCAATGTCCGCACCCTCCGTCAAATTGGTCAACAGGCTTCGTTGGCAAAGACTCCAGCAATCCGGGCCATGGATGTGTGCCGTGTTTGTAAGACACGCATACAGGACCCAAGTGCGGTTATTCACCTGACCTCTCCCGACCAATCTGGTGAATCCACAAAATTCACCCTCCGAGTTTCTGGAGATTCACTAGCTAGCTCTCAGGGTCTTGCAGGTGTAGGCATAGCATTAAGCACTAGAACAGAAA